CCCCAAAACCCCAAAACCCCAAAACCCCTTTCAATTTAATTTGAGTGGAAATTTTATAGATAAAAATGGAAACTATAGGCATGAAATTCTTGTCAAAAATACCCAGCTTGAAGAGCCAAACCTTGGATCGTAGGATGAAGAGGAAGACTATGGCAAAGTAAGTGTATTTTATCCTAAGAATTCCTAATAATGACTTGCATTAACAAGTGCTTATTCAGAAGACGAAGGAAAGCAGTGCTAGCTAATGAACAAAAATCTAAATAAAACGATCCCAGATATTGAGCAAAGGAATAACTCCTTAATGGTACAAGAGACTCTATCCAAGGCTAGCAAGGATCTCCGAGCAGAGGTTGATAGCTTTTTGTCAACCAAGGGAAGTGGGTTCAAGGCAAATCACCTCTAATTCTGGATAATAGCCCTCATGGTCCCAAAAGCCGTCATTCTTTATGGCCATTTCTAAGTGATTACATCCAAGATAAAAAGACGAATGATTCTGTAGATAGCTTTATAAAATCAAGAAAAGGGGAGAAGCAGGTAATGAACCTCATCCGTAGTCCCAGGGCTAGTAAATTAGTTACTAACAATACGAACATCATGAAGGCACTCGTGATGAAAGAATTAATAATGCCTCGCTTGAAAAAGAATGATGGCAGCCCAGCCTGAGGGTAAGCTTCTCCACAACTTTTATAGCGAGAATACTGATGACTTTAGAAGGAATACTGGTGAAGAACTTCAGAGAATGTTAAAATAATCCAAAAGGATTGGAGAAGATCATGGACAATATGAGGTAGGGTTATTTCTTATTAAGCATCCTTGGGTAGAGATTTTGTGTTCTTTTCTGTATCGGAGGGCTCAAAATCTGCCCAAAAGGAATCCTGGTGTTGTATCCTCTCTCATTTAGGTGGTCTGGGTCTATTTTTCTTCCCAGTCATAATATTTCTTTGATAGGATAAAACAGAATCGCAAAATGAGTTGGTTTGGGTTTATAAAGAAGACCAAAAAGTTGAGGAAAATAAAGCACAAATTGAAGAGGAAAGACTTTATCATAAAAGAAGAAGAGCCCGAGGCTAAATAGCATTGATACAGATCCTTGTCCTTCAATATTTCAAAAGTACTATAACCCATTATAATTTAGGCCAAAGATAATATGAGATAAAGAGCATGTGAAGCCAAGGAAGTTTGCAAGAGCCAGCAGTATCTCTAAGAAAGTTGATGCACATTTCTGGAGCTTAGACAAGGAAGATACTAAGCTAAACAATATAAAATCACCAAGGTTTGACTACTTAAATATTGGAAATATCACCTTTGACGATATTAAGGACTTTTCAATGGGAGTAATTCCAAAATTTAAATCGCACGACCAGTCAAAAGGTAGACAATCATTACTGAATCAGAGCCCAATGTTCAGTGAGATGCGAGATAAAGTCAAGGAAATGAAATAATAGCATCAAAATTGACCGGAAAAGTTAGCCTCTTGAGTAACCCAATAGTGTTCGGAACCAATAAAATCTCAAATATCCCAGGAATCAGCTTGAAGAGGAAGACATCATCGAAAAGAAAATTTTACAATAAGAAGAGCCATTTCAAGTCAGAATTGATAGAGAGTCTCTCTTCAATGCTACTAGATTCTAGTAAGGCACTTTTTACTAACTCTTCAGGCAGCAGTTCTTCTCAGTCTGGCAATGAGGATAAGAAGAATTCATGGAACGATCTGAAGAGACGGAATAATATTGGGAATAGCTATCATGAACTCCCAGAGGATATTATCTCTAATTTTCCATCCATCTCATCTATTGCTGAGAAGAGCAAAAAGTAAGGCTACTTTCAGCCAATTTTGAACGAATTCGGTATAATTTTGTGTGTAGATTACCAAAATTGAACTCAAATATCGACAACGAAATCATTGAAAGTGAGAATGAATTTGATAGCGAGATGGACAAAGAGGAACAGAAATCTCAGATCAACGAAATAGCCCTCTCCCCTGTGGAGAAGAAGGTTGATAAATTTACTTCAAAATCTCCTCAGCCCTCTCCTCGTTCTATCTTCTATGTTCACCAAAGTGGGAAGAAAGGGTTCAAGCGAAAACGATGAGATAAGTTGAATATCAAAAAGACTGAGGCTAGGTTGTTAAAGAAGCGTAAGCTCAAAATCCCAAGAAAGTTAGTGCTCTAGATATATATAACTACCTCCAATTTGCTTCTATGAGAGGTCTCAAATTTCTGTTCCTCAATTTATTAAAAATTTCAATATCTTTATTCTAATAGGGGTTTTGGGGTTTTGGGGTTTTGGGG